AAGTTCTGTGGAGATAATTAAACAAGAACAAGACCTACTGAACTTCCTTGACGAGGCTCTGGAAGGCTTAGGTGACGATTATTCAGTCGAAGATTATCCACTGACGGAGCAGAACACATCACCTGCAGAAACGATGGTAAGAAAAATGTACATTGTATTTGCTGAAATTGACCTTGAAATCACTTCGTGAACAATATATTAATTTATTCCATTTCCGTAATAGTTTCACATCTGACTGGATACATATATTTAGTAGTACTGATTTATGTATATATATAGCGTTTTAAATTATAATAAGACAATTGCTAACACAATCAATTCATCGTTTCGTTTGTTTTACACTTTGCATGTATTATATTTGCATAACCTGATATTGAACTGCTGATAACCAATCGACATATATCGTTAATAAATCAATGTTATCAATATTTATTGATTGAACATTCATTCATTCATTTCATTTCATTTCATTTCATTTATACATGCATGTACATACATTCATTAAGCGCATCATTCATTCATTCATTTATTCACTCATTAAACTCATCATTCATTCATTCCATTCAAACATAAGTAACTCATTCATCAAACGCATCGTGCGGCATTCTGTCCTTACATTGAATAAGTGCTCCATTCTCTTTCATTGACTTAATTGATTATAAATTCATTCATTAAGCGCAACATTCATTCATTCATTCATTCATTCATTCATTAACAGACGAGTGTAGCACCTATGCCTATTCCTGTATGTCAGTTAAATGGAGAACCGATGTCGGAATGCGACGAAGACGTAAAAAGCGACCAGACATTTACTAAAGAAACGGCGGAGATGGACAATTCAATAGGTGCAGGTAGCGTACAATTGTTGATCTATAATAAATTAAGCAAGGATATGCCCAGGCGATGGTCCATGATTTTATTTTAAAAGATTCAACGAAATAATATCTTATTCATTCACAAGCACCACTTATTTACTCTTACATTCGAAAAATACAAACAAAATGTTGTTTTTTTGGTGTTGAAATATTCATATTTGTTGCAATCCTGACACTTTGTCTTTGACCTTGTAGAAATCCCAAATCTGTCTTTGATGCACACTGATGGTAGCAAGCAGAACCTCAGTGCTTACATACAGGACATTATCCGAGAGGCCCACGATAAAGTTACCACGGATGACGCGGAGATGGCGCCCCTAGCAACGGCGGAGAGCAGCATTCAGGATGAGTCAAACCTCACCGGAATTTGCTTTACAGACGACAGTCCCTCAAAAGAATCACAAAACGTATGTACTTATTTATCATGTTTTGAAGTTAAATGGTGTTTTGAAACCTTTGTACTCCTGTAATCCAGAAACGTATATTTCTGTATAGAAAGAAGAACAGACGATTTACAGATTAGTAAAAGCAAAATGCAAGCTTGAAAATAATTCATTTCCTAAATATGAAATGCCAATATTTGAAAAGAGATCTCATGTATATTCGTTTTAGCCCTGTAGCAATATGAGGATTTGCTGATTATATGTCTACTTTGTTTGTTTTAGGCAACAAATCAAGAAAACAGAGAAGAAGAAAATCTCTCAGAATCTGTAGTAAAAGGTAGGTACTAAATTGTGTAATTACCCGATCAGGCGATGCCGGGCGGTGGTTCATAGTGACAAAACTATAGGTGGCATACTACAGATATTTAAAACTGACTACAGTCCCGTGTTGGTGTAGCCATATTTAAAGAATGCCATTATAATGCTAAGGTCGGACGGCTGAACTGATGAAGACTAATGTTGTGTTTTTGAACTGTTCGAGGATTATAAAAAGGTGTCAGAACGTTTAAGTTGAATATGTCATTAAGACTTGATTCACGATATGTTTAACTAAAACCAATAGTTCCAATTTCCAGAATTTAAAAAAATCTTTTATATTAATATTTCAGTACCAGCTCCAGATATCCACGTAGAAGAAGCGATTATTAACAACAACCATCACGAAAAAACGCCGTTAGATGGTGACATCGACGAAATAATTGAAATCGAGGATGACAGTTTTGGACAGCAGTCGTTCGTAGAGATGAATAGTAAGGACAGAGGACTCCCGAATAAAAAACGAAAACGTATGAGCAGAATCAAAGATTCTATTCTGAACCTGTTCTCGTGCACGTCATCACGTGCAACAGATACGTCATAGTATTATACGCCTCGTTTGTATTATTGACATTTGAAATTACGCCGTCAAAGTCGTTTTATATCGAATTAAATACAAAGTGTGCCGGAAATTGCGCAAGACATACCGGAAATGGTATAAGACAACTCAATACTGAACGGAAGTGACGTTTGCTGGATTTACAGGGTTACCATGTGTTCATTTGTTGTTGATTTCTGGAGTTAACGTTGTTGACGTTGATTAAGATGGCCTCATCTAAGTAATTTTAAACCTAACTTCGCGCCTGATCTCTGTGATATTGGACCAAAAGGACGAAATGTGACGTCATCGATCAAGGAACTAACGAACAACTTTGGTGTGTCAAATGCAGTACTAATAATTTTAGATCCTGTTTTAAAGAATCTGGAAGGTTCTGATATTCCTAGTAATAATTCTAGTATAGAAAACACATTATCTTGGAAATATTTATCAGGAAATCAAAATGTCCGGATTAACAAGGTTCCTCATACCAAGTTTTGAATCCAGTAGTGCGGACCGATCATTTAGTTGGGTGTTATATGGCTGTATTGTAGGGCAGCTTACCATTCATTGATTTAAATGATGGCTTAAAGTCATTATTGATTCTATACAGGTGTTCCCTAACTCTTGAGCATACATGCTCTTACAGGGAATTTCTAATGACGCGGACGTCTGCGAGGAAGCATACCGCTGTACTAAATGGTGTTTATCGTATTATTTTCTGTCTGTGTTGCAATACAGAACCGGGCCATCAAATGCCAAAATAGAATCTGACGCCATCAACTTGTGAGTAATTCAGTTTCCTGCCTTGATTGCTATTCAACTGAATTACAACGTTATTTGTCTCTAATTTTCATCAATTTCACGAGACAAGTGAACTCAATTAACCGGAAGTGCTTTGACATCCGGTATGCAGACTCGTTCGCTTCCGCGACGGAAGCCGCATTACCTCATTAGGAGAGCGACCGGATGTACAGTATACTTGATAGAGAGGATATTGAGCAATGACACGAAATGTTCGTACATCACAAAGATAAAATGGGACAGGTATCTCCTTATTTTCAATGCGACAATATATGCGTGTATCATACTCGTCAATTTGTGCCTGGAAATTAATAATAACACTAAAATGCTCTGGGACAAATTTATCAATTCCCGTTTATAGTTCGGTGGTGATTTAGATTAGTAGAATTTTTATCTATTGTATCTAAAACTATGTTAATTATAACAGGATCATCTGAATGAAAAATCAGACATTGAAAACTCGGTGAAATAGTTGCCCAGAAACCATGTCACGTGATACAAAATGGTAGTTCATTATTGTAGCAAGTGTCTGAAC